TCACTAGTTGACAACACATCAACATATTGCTTCTTGGAGAACCAAGAAATGAGACTTCCCAGATACTTGAAAAAATATCCAGAAGTACTTTTTCTGTCAACTCTGTCTCCTCACTAACCAGATCTGAATTGCATATGAACTCTACATCTGATTTAACACCAGAAGGGAACAACACTCCATACCTCAGAGTCTCTTTGATGTACCTCTAAATCCTGACACCAGCTTGGTAATGTGACCACTTCAGTTTTTTCATAAACCTACTCATTATTCCAACTGCATACCAAATCTCAAGTTTGTTGTTAAAGAGATATCTTAATCATCCAACAAACTATTTGTAGTTTGTAGCATCTACATCAACACCCTCAACATCAGAATCATACTTGTGCTTCATCTCAGCAGGTGTTATTGCATTCTTGCAATTGTTTAGCTCAAATCTCTTTAGAAGCTCAAGTTCATACTTCAGCTAGTGAAAAATAATACCATTCTCCGATTACAATACCTTTATCCCTAGAAAGTATACTAGCTTTCCAAGGTCAGTCATTTCAAATTCATTCATCATCACCTTCTTGGACTAGACCATTTCCTCCAAAAAACTCCATGTCAGCAATATGTCATCAACATACAAACACACCAGAATCATATTGCCTTCAGAAGTATGTTGAATATAAACATCGTACTTCATCTCACATTTCTGAAATCCATGCTTCATCTCACGTTTTATCTAACCTGTACACCATCCCTTCCAGATTCTTTTTCACAAATCCAAGAGGTTATGACATGTATACCTCTTATTATAACGGACCGTTCAGAAATGAAGACTTCACATCCATATGCAACAGAGGCCAATTCCTATTTGCATCTATAGCAATCACCAATATGATTGTTTCATGTCTAGCTACAGGTCTAAACACTTCAAAGTAATATAGCTCAGTTTTATGTATAAAAAAAAACCTCTATCCACTAGCCTCGCTTTGTGTTTGTCATTTGATCCACCTGGATTCAACTTTGTCTTGAAAATCCATATGATACTGATGGATTTATTCTCCTTTGGAAGGTTAGTCAACTCTCAAGTTTTGTTTCTTTCTACTAACATGGCACACTGAATAACTTCTCCCTCGGAGTCTACTTCAGTATCTTACAACATGTCAAATTCTACAAACCTTCTTGATATTTTTCTGATTCTCCGTGGTCTCTAAACTTGTTCTGAATCTTCTACAAAACCTGGAACATTGTTATCTTCTGGACCTCGTCCAGAACCACTACCTTCAGAAGTATCACCTTCAGAAACATGATCCATTCCACAAGCTTGTCCTCCAGAAACTACTTCTTCAAAGTTTTCCCTTCCAGAAGCATGATCACCACCATATTTTTTATCATCATCAAAACATGGATTAGAATCAGTTTCACCATCAAAATCACCTTTGGATTCAGATTAATCTTCAGAGTCTCCAGAATCATATTCAACTTCTGACTTTGACTCGCCTTCAGAACTTCCAAGTTCTGACTCGTCTTCAGAACCTTCTGAAGCATCTTCAGAAGCTACATCAGGTGTTGACACTTCACCATAATTGGATTGAGACTTGCTCCAATCCCATGCTTCCGACTCTTTCAAAATGACGTCTTTGTTGACTTTCACCTTATTGGTGACTGGACAATAAAGCTTATAAACAATCATACTATGGTACCCCACCAGTAACATCACTTTGCTTCTATCATCCAACTTCTTTCTCTTAGCATCTGGAACTTGTTTATAGCAAACTAAACCAAATACCCTGAAATGACTCACATTTTTCTTATCACAAGCCCACTTCTCCAAAGGAACATTTTCCTTCAACTTTTTTGTTATACACCTTTTGAGCACATATGCTAAAGTGGCAACAACTTTTCCCCACAAGGTGTGAGGCAGCTTCTTCACTTTCAGAATTCTCCTCGACATATCAAGCAAAAATTTATTTTTTCTTTCAGCAAGACCATTGTGTTAAGAAGTGTATGGACCAATGTCCTAATGCTCTATTCCATTCTCCTCACATATCTTTTGGAACTCTATGGAGTTGTACTCACCTCCACCATTAATTATGAGGATCTTTAGCTTCTGACCACTCTATTTCTCAGCCTTCACCTTGAACTTTTGAAAATCGGTAAACACTTCATTCTTGGACTTGATGAGTGCTACCCATGTCATCATTGTGAAATCATCCATAAAGGACACGAAATACTTGTTTCCTCCAAGTGATAGTATTGTAAATGGTCCACACACATTAGAATGCACTACTCCCAAAGCGTGATTTTCTCTTGGGTCTACTTCCGATGAAAACGACAATCTGGGTTACTTGCCTTTCATGCATATCTCGCATGACTTCTCGAGCTTCACAATCTTTGGGATGCCACACACAAGCTTCTTAGAGCTCAAATTCCCTAAACTTCTAAAGTTTAGATGCCCCAATCTCTTGTGCCACAACTTACTATCACCTTCAGTGCCTTCTACATTAAGGCATTCTATTTCAGCTGTCTCCATATTCACCTTGAATTTTCCGTTGCTTCCCTTCTCAATGATCTGGCCTATACTCATCAGATTTCTCTTTATTCTAGTAATATACCAAACATCCTTGATGAGAACGATTCTTCCATTCTTCATTCTGAATTTGATATTTCCCATACCTTATGCACTAAGGTACTTATCATCAGCACATCTGATCTTTGTCCTTCTTCTGTTGTCAAAATCTATCGGCCATTGTTTGTTTCAAGTTAATTGATTTGAGCAGCCAATGCCCATAAATCGCCAGCCTACCAAATACCTTCCATCAAACTCATAAGCCATCAATAACACATGTTCATCATCAGTATCTTCTGGCTATATTTTCTTCTTCTGATTTTCTTCCTTTGTTTAACTAACAATCTTTAGCAAAGTGGTCAAACTGCTTACAACAGTAACATTGAACCTTTTTCTTGTCAAACTTCTCATTTCCCTTCTGATGTTTCTTCTCATCAGAACTAGAGACTTCTAACTTCTGACTTCTGAGAACTACCACCATGTCTCTTCTTGGATGTTGACCAAGAATACTTCTAGTCTTTCCTGACAAAAGAAACTTTCAGAGCCTGCTCAACCTCTCTTTGATAAGTTCTCTCAGTTAGACGCAACTCTTGCGCCTCTAGGCTGCTTTGCAGTTCTTCAATTCTCATGGTGCTCAGATCTTTAGAATATTCAATTGCTACAATAATATAATCAAACTAAGGAGTAAAGGATCTCAATACCTTCTCAATGATTACTTGTTCAGAAAGTGTTTCTCCACATGATTCCATTTTATTTGTAATCAAAATCACTCTAGAAATCTAATCAAGTACCTTCTCATTGTTCTTCGTGTTGAGATTCTCTTACTGCTTATGTAGATATTTAAGCTTCAACTTCTTCACTGATGCATCACCACCGTAACACCTTATCAGTATATTCCACGCAGACTTCGCCGTCGTTGAATCAACGATTTTCTCAAACACATTCGCATCTACACACCGATGGATGTAGAACAATGCCTTTTGATCCTTCTTTCTTGTATCTCGCTGAATGTCTCTCTATTCATCCCTCGCATTCGCTGCAACCGAAACATAACCTTCAGTGACAAGATCAAACACATCTTAAGCACCGAACATTACACACATTCGACTCATCCCCCGATTTCAATTCTTTCCATCAAACACCAGAAGTTTAGTATTCAAATTGCTTCCGCTCATCTTTGTTTTATGCACTAAAACTCAAACAGACCTCACCAAACACTCGTGTTTCCCGACCCCGCATAATCAAGAAATATAATTTTGTTACGATTTCGACCGTGAATTCCACACGAATTCAAGAACAACGGAATCAATTACACACGCCTGACGTACACTCGCGTTTCCCTGTGAAACTAACCTAAGCTCTAGATATCAATTGTTGGTGCTTATGATAAAGATGATGATGAAAAGAAGAGAGAGAAGAAATGATTGTACTACAAACTTGTAGAGGAAGAATACTCTATTTCAAAAGGTCGTTGTTATGTGTTATAAAACCCTAACTACAAACTTGCTTATATACACAAAAATAATTGTCATGTAGGCTCTAACAAAAATAAACTTAATAGATAAATTTACTTAACAGTCAAACAAACAAAAATAATTAAATACAACTAGAACCCCATAAGCTAAACATACTTCTGGAATATAACATCGGAAACTTTTACTTTCGACTAATAACAACTTTTGAATATGAATTATTTTTAATTGAGTGGATTCTAAAATAAAGACAAATAGTGCCTCTGATAGAGAGCAATTGTCTTTGATGATGTCCTTAATTTAATAATTAGACCTCTTAGATAAATAAAGTCTAAACATTATCTATTTAATTTAATCAAACATCTCTCAAGTCATGCCTCATTTATCAAGTCGCCTCTAATTAAGACCATTTGTTAAATACAAGACCGTTTGTTCTGAAGTTTCTAATAGATTACCCGATGCTCCCTCACTTTGATCTCACTAATTTGTTAAATAGAACATGAAAATATTTTTTATGGTGCAGAAAATGACAAGTTTAAAGAATATTTGTCCCATAATTGTAAACATGTATAAGAATCATACAACAACTATAGCTAATATGCTCAATACATGTAATAATATTATTTCTCAAAGAGCATCGTAAATAGTACATCACCCTCACCTTTTTAATTTTTCATCTCACTAAGAAAGAATCTAAGCAAAATCTTTCAGCAAATTATTATGAGAAATCAAGTGAACATTTTAGATAAAACTCCATATCTTAAAAAGTAAAAAAATTTCAATGTGGAATTTTTTTTATTGAAGATGATACAAATTATTAGTTATAATACTTGTTTGATAATATCATGGTAATGATTCTTACACATAAAATTACATAAGAGACTTAATAGACTCCTCTTATTCGAATAAGTAAATACCCTAATGGATATAATTAATAACTATATATGGTGTTATAATATGGCCCCGTAGCTTCCATCTTATGGAGATTGCCCAATGCTCTGATCTGTTTTAGGTGGAATAGCAGAAGCACAACAGCTGCAGCAAGAGCCTGCAGGTGGTGGACTGCAACACACACAAGCAGGACATATAGGTGGCCTAATAAGATCACGTGCAGCATCGCATGGTAAAGTAGGAGACAAAGCCATAGCAAAGATGAAAATAAACATCAAAGTAAACTTCAAAGAATTGGTTGCCATTGCTATAAACAATACAAGAGATAACTATTGAGAAATATGTATGTGAGATAGGTTTTTGTTATTGTAATGATCATGAATCTAGTGTGCAATATATATAGAGTTTGTTAAGTTCATGACTACGAACTAGTGGATGTAACAATAAATGTGGATGTAGCTTTTTCAATGCCGTAATGTAATATTTTGAATTTGAAGGCTGAACTTCAATAAAGTCAATAGTCAAATTGGATATTTAATATATATATATATATATATATATATATATATATATATATATATATATATATATATATATATATATATATATATATATATATATATATATATATATATATATATATATATATATATATATATATATATATATATATGTGTGTGTGTTCCTACTGGTTGAGATATATCTATAAATGAAATGATCCTTATGCACCACGTATGTCATAACTCGCGTCAACCTCGACGGTCTACTACAATCCTGCTTGAGCCACGTAGGTTGAGCTTAGCATTATGGGATAGATAAAGTCCTACTAGATCCTTGGGCATAAAGTCAAGAATCACGGATATCTGATCTTACTAGTATAGGGTACGTCTTGCGTCTGATTCCAAGTTGTACGTGTCTAAGGTCATGCCTGGCATCATACACATTTGTCAAGATCTAAATCATCTTTGAGGAAACACACTTGTGACATTTAAAGAATAAAGTGGAGGCATATGTCCCTCAACTATTCAATGACCTATCATACAATAACTCAAGGAATATATCCCTTGACCGTTCATGTTTTTTAAACATATATTGAAGTCAAGGCGTAGGTCCCCTAATCATCAGCTTAATAACATACACTAAAGTCAAGTCATAGGTCCTTTAATCGTCAACTTCATAACATACACTAAAGTTAAGACGTAGGTCCTCTAATCACCTGCTTCATAGCATAAATTAAAGTCAAGGTGTAGGTCCCTTGAGCATCAACATCAGAACATATCATAGAATATGAGCGAGGTGTAGGTCCCTTAACTATTCGATATCATACATTTTTCTCTCCTATGTCGTCTCTTTGGAGCACCAAGTCCCCGATATGGATTTCTCTTGGTTAGAAGCAACGATTGTACTTGGAATCCACAATTTTCTTGAAGATGATATTAGTGAAGGCGGCTTCCACCATCCTTTCTTCTAAAAGGTTGACGTCAACTCTGATGTGTCCTGTCCATTTCCTTCCGCTGGTAAAGGATTTTTCGCCCTCCAACTCAGCTTTTCAATTTCTACTAGAAATGATTGATTCTAAGTTGTATGTGTGTCAGAATGTGGTTTATTATGTAGTCAATTGAGGAGTAGTACGTCAAGCCCACAACGCATGTGGAAGATCATCAACCAAATTACCTTTAGCTTCCTCCAATATTCTTCATTTTAGTCCTCTAACCAGCACCCGATTGGCTTCTTTGACTTGATCATTCATTTGAGGGTGTTTCACATATGCAAAGTGTTGTTTAACCTTGAACTCCTCCAATAAATTTTTCTACCTTTTATTTATGAATTGCATTCCATTCTCTATTACAATAGCTTCGGGGACCCTAAATATGACTAATATGTTTCTTTTGAAAAACATCAAGATATTTGATGCTGTTATCACAAAGAATTTGAATATTACCATTCTTCACACACACCTTCTCCAATCATCAATGTCTGATATGTCATCCCTTGAGAGCAAGCTAAAGAAATGTTGAAGACCAACAAATTTCTCTTGTTATATGGATTCAGATATATAGCTTAAAGCCTAACTGTGTAACTATGAGATACAATCTAAGTGGGAGTGAATTAAGGTTTCCTGATTTGTATCAATTTTGCATTAAGATCTTATTTATCTTCGGATATGATAAAAATGTATTCTTAACAATAAAACTTGCATAAATTTAAAGTGTTGAAAAATAAATGAACACAAGAAATTATACTAGTTATCCTTATCAAAAAAGGGTATATCTAATCCCTTCACACCTTAAAGTATTTTTCACTATGTTAGATCATTATACAAATCTCACACCAATACCTCTCTTACAATCTTCTAACATAAATACAAAATCTACAGTGGATTTTGAATCTCCCCGATTCAAATGACATTTTCTGAAATCATCAAACACTATGATTATTCTTACATAAACCAGAAAGCACACTACTTTCTGTTTATAACACTTTGAAAGCACACCATTTTCTATTATAAACACTTTTTAGAAACCACGCCACTTTCAGTTACAAATAATTGTCATCACACATTTGGTGATCAAGATGGATTTTGAATTTATAAAATGTTCTTTAATCAACTCCTATACAGAAAATTGATCTTCTCTTTAATATATAATTCAAATATAATACTCTTAAGTGCTCATAAATTTTGAATGATACTCTTTGAATTATATGAAAGTTATGCATAAAATTTCATTATTATAGTTGAATTGTATGAAATAAAATGTGAAAAAGCTTATTTGAAAAAAATGTCATATTTCACCTTAAATACATCCTAGAATAACTCTTGGATTAAATGCAATTTGTTGGAGAAGTTCCATGAATTGGATACACATTGGTTCAGAATGTTTAAAAATCCGCAGGGTGCAATTGGTCACACTTTTGGTGTAATCAATTATCATCTCTAAAACGGTAAAAACATTCTTGCATAATGGATGTGTAATTAATTACATAAATAGTGTAATTTATTACACTAACTTAAGATAAATAAGGCATTTTGGAAGAGTGATTATGGAGGTTCATATGCCATAATATACAAAAAAAAAATCTAATTAATTGAAAAATGAAAAAAAAATCAAATTTTTAATGGCAATGCTTGAGTACTTTGTTGCGTGATAGTTTTATAATCTTTAAAAATTAATGAATGAGTATTTTGTTGCATGATAGTTTTATAATCTTTAGAGATGAGTGAATGAGAATTTTTCATAGCATCCAAAGTTTATATATAATGAATTGCAAACAAGTACCTTAGCATCAAGATAAATTTTCTTTGTATCCCAATTATCTATAAGTTTATGAATTCTTCATTCTTGATTTCAAAAAAATTATTCTTTGATAAGATTTTGTCTTCATCAAAATTAAACAAAAGTAGATGATGAACATTGAAATTTGGGTATACAAATATTAGATGTCGAACTAGATATCACGATACTAATATCAGATTAATCACAAACCCCAAGACAATTAACTAAATATAGTGAACTACTGAAAGTAAATAACACAAATAATTTAAACCCGGTTGGGTGAAACACCACCTACATCTAGAGGTCTTCAAGCCTAAGAGGAAATCTACTAAAATAGTATTAGTTTGAAGCTTAAGTAAACAACCTCTAATTTACTATCTTTCCGCCTAATCACTATCGGTTCTATTTCCATCTAAGACACTCCTAGATATGAGACCCCTCTCACAACCTATCACGGTGAAAAATCAAGGAGATCAAGCTATTGAGAAACTCGACTCACAATGACTTAAGAAGTCTCCACCGAAATTTATTGTTTCCAAGGAAAAGGAAAAAGATAGAAACCCTATTGTTTAACATGTAATGCAAGAAGTAAAGACTAAAAACAAATAACAAGGAAGAGATCCAAGATACAGAAGTTGGTTATACAAAGGGAAGATATTAGCATCCTATGTATCTATAGTACTCTACATGAACCACTTATAATATCTATTTTTTAGTTTAAAATTGTTTGTTTATTAAATTGGTGTGGAGATGGGGAAAGAAATATATTTTAGGATATTTTTGTTTGGAAAGACATAGTCTTATACCTACGTACCAATTAAGGATCAAAATCTTGTAGTTCATGGTAAAAATAACAAAAGGGTTTGTTGTGGTTGATTTTAGGAGAAGAGACATTTAATCATCTTTAAGGGAGAAAAGCTCAACTAATACCAACAAAAGTATGAGAATATAGATTTTGCATCATCATGTAGAAATGACTACTAACTTGGATATAAAGATCAATAAGTTTCCAAATAAAGTCTTCATGTGGAAAGAATCACATTTACTTTAACAATTACTATGGGAATAAGAGAATCATATCTCAACTATAAAGAGGATTTATATCTAATCTCTTTTAGGAAAGAGTTTAAATTGAAAAGCCAAGTGACAAAAAGATTTGGGCGAGGTTAAGTACTTTTAATCTTTTGAAATTGTTTTGATATTCTTAAGTATTTTGAAGCTTTTATTAAAGAAAGAAAGTTTGGAAATACAATGACATAAAGTCAAGGTTTTTATATGAAAGAGGTGATAGTTTAAAAATTATTTTTAGGGTTAAAAGGTTTCTTTTTATAGTATATGAGAATACATGAGATGATTATTCACAAGGGTTTTATACAAAGGGGGATGCACATGCTTATGACTATGAAGTCAACAATACTATCATTTTCCTTGGATTTGGGGGAGAGGGGAGGGGAACAAGTATAACAAGATCTTAATCATTAACATGATAGAAAACACACACATCACAAGTGTTTAAACACAAAAGGAGAAGGTTAACATGCTTATCAATGTAAAAGTTGTGACAAGTAAGCTTATGAAAGCATGGATAAACAGTCAAAGCATGTGAAGTTTTAAGGTCATGGATCACAAATTAGGATTTTGAACAAGTTATGATTTCAACATAAAAATTTCAAGTCCTAAACCTAATTGTAGTCAATTTCTTCATGGTACAAATACATACAAGGGTCATGTTATCAAACAAAATTCATTAGAGATATGGCATGGTTATTTAACATGGGTTTATTCAAGAAAATCAACAAGAAAATCAAAGATATGGTTTGTAAGTTGACTAAAAAAGACTTGTTTTGAATTAAATAAAAAGAGTGGAATAAATAATATTTTTTGGGATTTTTTCACATACTCATAAAATAAAGTAGATAAATAAGGAGTATGAAAAAATCAACTCAAAATGAATTGTTTTGATTGGTGAAAATAATTAGTGAAGTTTGTTAAAAAAAAAGAAAAAAATGGGTGATAAAAAAAATAAAGGA